ATTTGTTAGTCCGCTAGGCTTGATTAAATTGTGGCCTTGCCGAAGTACGAGTTACCTCTTGGTATAAATTGTACTCGGTAAGTGGAGTTTATTGCATATTGATAATTATGAATGATCTCAATTTTTTCATATTAATCTAATTTCATTGCTTTTTTCTCTTTTTTTCATTCCATTGTGACGTTGGATATTACTGAAACTACACACAAATTCGACCCCAATTTTGACCGTGAACATATGCCTGGAATGGATGATTTTGCACCAACAATTGTTCCTTGGGTTATTAAAGTATTCCACATTTATTGAAAAAACATATATACATTTGCTCATACTTAACGAATTTCGTTCAACAAAGTCACGAAGTTACGTTAATTTTTAACTGAACTATTATATTCTACGGGATGCCAAATTGTTATTTTTGTATATGCGACTTGGACAAATAAATGATAAGAATTAATTTTTTTTAAAGAAAACGAACAATGTGGTAAAATACATGTGTGGATACCGTTAGTAGATCTAGTCCATTTTAACTTCAAGTACTACATTTTAACTTCAGTCATTATATTATATGTATTTTAATGACAGTTCTGTCAGCCGTTAATGCATTGTAAAACGTATTAAATTGTATTTAGAAAAAATCACTGTTTACACGCGTTCTGAATTATTTGAAATAGTTTGAGTTCAACCGTGGTTTAAAAAGGTCAACATTCGAAATGGGGAAGGGTTTTAATAATTACATGTGTAAGAAATTCTTCCATCCAGCGTCCAGAGATAATCTGAAACGAGTAAGTGATCCTATATTTAATTTAAAAAAATATTGTTTTAATGGCTTTCGTTTTCATTTTACAAATGATTTAGGTATGGATGGCCGAACAACAAGCCGAAGCATATAAGAAAAAGCAAGAAGAGCTTCGAAATCAGTATGAAATAAAATGTCTTACATCCGTAAGATGAACTTTTCCGCACTGTGATCCACAACATGCATTTATTAAAAATCCTTTACTCAAAGAATTTACGAGAAAACTGAATCTGACATTAGTTTTACGCAATGTCGGAATATGATGGCGTTTTATTTTCAACCAAAAGTATGTTTTAGCGTAGATGGCGCTGATTTAAATGGACATTTGTTTGTATAGACGGTGGCGCCGCCCTCCTCAATTAAACACTGACATGGTGAACTACAGCGTTTCCAATCGTTGGTTTTACGATAAAAATGGGAATATTTGTATCGCAGCCATGCCTATATGATATCGTAATCATGTGAAAATTTGCAGAGGTTATTTTTTTCACAAAAAGTTAACATTCTGAAAATTTGAAGAAATGTCAATACATATTAAGGGTACTTCCCATACAAAATTTCGTTTTTGAGCGAAAAATTCAAAATTTTGTTCGGGAGATACCCCTAATATGCATTGAAATGTCTTCAAACTCTCGGAATGGTAGTTTTTTGTGATAAAAATAACCTGTGCAAAGTTTCAGCTCATTACGATATCATACAGGCATGGCTTTTATACAAAAATCCAAAATTTTTGACATTTTTGTATGAAAAGTGTGTCGAAAGTTATTTGTATCGCAAAAATAACGTCATATTCGGTTTTAACGTCATATACATTAAATATCACTTTTGGAAGAAAAATTGAATTTTTCCCAT